AAGCACAGTTATTTGTCTGGCTATCATGCCACCCTGGTTTATTCTAGGACCTATCCTGGCACTCCTCTTTTGAGTTTTTCCCCCTTTCTCCCTGCTGTTGCTCCTGCCACACTCCTTTCTTTCTGAAGATTTTTTTTCTCTCTCTACAGATGCCATTACGTGGCAAAATTGGGGGCTCATGGCACAAAGCTTTTATTGTGCAACTTCGTATCCTTGAGAAGTGATCTAATTGTCTTTCTCCCCCCTCCTCTCTCACACCCCCAAACAACAAATTGTTGGCAGAGAGGTTTGTTTAATTACATAACTGTAGATAGCCTGACTCATAAACAGATCTCTGGAACTTGTTTTATCTCCATTTATTATGGGGAAACAATAAACAGCTGACACCTTGATGTTGTTGGAAGAGCAAAAAGCACACAGATTGGTAAAGGCAAGCTCTTTGTAACAAAATGTCACTGACACACAGGTTTAAGGCAAGAGAGATAGTGGTGAACTTTTGTAGTAAGTCACAAACTATCTGTATATATTCCCCTCAATACAGTCAACTCAAAAGATATTTGCTCAGATCAGTTATTCTTAATATAAAATATAATGTCATACTTAATGAAAGTAACAGATATACCAGTACTTACAAAATTCTTCATCTGGTTTTTAGGGTTCAGTTACCTGACCTCATATGTGGAACAGCATCAACTTGGCAAACTGACATTCCCCCATTAATTATTTATTTACATATTTATTCTAGTGCTATGTCCAGGAGATCCCATCGTCTCCTTTCATATGGTTTTCTAACCAATGCGCAAAGGGGCTCACTTGCATTGGTACTACACTAACTGAAAACTACAACAAATTGAGCACGCAACAATTTAGAAATTTGCCTCAGAAATTCTCCAAATTAAGCTATAAGGCAGACGGAGCAGAATGTGAGGCAGAGCCAAGCCAATGAATAATAACAGGATTGAATCGGGGACATCTGTTCATCTGTATAAAATCATAAATATAACAGCAAGTCAGTTACTCACCAGAGACCTTGACAATATGGATGTGGAATACAGCACAGTAGTTTACCAAAACTAATAAACATGGATTATACTTGTCTATGATTTTGTACACAACACTTGTGACTTTTGAGAAGCTGCTAAACCACCATATCAAGAGAAAACGTCTAGGAACATACAAAAAATCTTGGGGGCAATATTTGACTTTGTTTCATGGAGGCCATGTTCCCATGGTGTCGTTCTGGATCAAACGCATAACAGAACTGAGATTTCTTCTCTTTTGTCTTCAATTGCTGCCCTCTATAACTTCAAAAATCTGTGCCAGAGGTTTTCCCAGTGAATGACACTTATGCTTTACTGTAAGAACATTGATTTGACAAGGATACCATTGATCCTAGAGCAAGTTCCTTTGGAGGGATTCATAGTTCAGATGTAAATGTGTCTTCACAAAGAGCTCAGAGAGAAGCTTAAAACAAAAATAAGGACATGTATAGGAAGGGGAAAGAAGGCAAGGCCACAAAGGAAAATGAGATAGCAAAGAATTACAGGCATGGCGTTAGGAAGGGAAAAGCTGAGAATGAGCTGAGGTTAGCATGAAACCATAAAAGCTTTCTTCAGGTACATGCATAGCAAAAAGCAGAGAAAAGAAAGAGTGGTTCAGCTACCCAGTGGGGATGGGAAAATAATGCCAGATGACAAACAAAAGGCAGAAGTGCTCAATTCATACTTTAGCTTGGTCTTCTCCCAAAAGACAGTCTATGACCTCTTGACAAATGTAAAGTACAAATGGAGGAGACAGGATTGCAGTTTGAAATTGATAAACAAATAGTCAAGATATAATTTATTATACTGAATAAATTCAGATTTCCAGGGCACTCGTGTATTGAAGGCACTGGCTGAAAAGTCTTCAAATCATGGAGGATGGGCTAATGTTCTTCCTATACTCAAAAAGGGCAAAAAGAAGGAACCTGGGAACTATAAACCAGTCAATCTGACATCAATCCCAGGGAAAATTCTGGAGCAGATTATAAAGCAATCAGTCTGCAACCATGTTGAAAACAATGCAGCAATGATTAAAGTCAACATAGATTAGTCAAGAACAAATCCTACCAAACTAAGCTTTCTCATTTTTTTGATCAGGTAACCTCCCTGGTAGGTGGTGGGAATGATGTAGATGCAATGTATCCTGACTTCAGCAAAGCTTTTGACAAAGTTCCAAAGCAATTTTGATTAGCAAGCTAACTAGATATGGATGGAATAGGGCAACTATCAGGCGGATACAGTTTATTCACAAAGGCTTTCACGGCCAGGATCTAATGGTTGTTGTGGGTTTTTCGGGCTCTTTGGCTGTGTTCTGAAGGTTGTTCTTCCTAATGTTTCGCCAGTCTCTGTGGCCGGCATCTTCAGAGGACAGCACCAGAGCACAGAGCGCTGTCCTTTGAAGATGCCGGCCACAGAGACTGATGAAACGTTAGAAAGAACAACCTTCAGAACATGGCCAAAGAACCCAAAAAACCCACAACAACTATTGGATACAGTTTGTTACCAAATCATACTCAGAGAGTGCTCCTTGTCAAACTGGGAGGAGTCAACAAGTGGGGCACCACAAGGCTCAGTTCTGGACTTGGTGCTCTTCGACATTTTTATAATGACTTGGATGGGGTGTGTGAGGGAATGCTTATCAAATTTGCAATGATACAAAATTGGGTGGAATAGCTAATATTGACAGAACCAAAAATTCAAACAGATATTGATAGGATTAAGCAGTGCGCTGAAAACAGCAGAATGAAATTTAAATGCAAAGAGAGTCCCATGGCACTGTTTTTAAGCTCCAATACTGCCTATGCTCAAAACCTGAGTTCGATCCTGACAGCTTCAGGTAGCCGGCTCAAGGTTGACTCAGCCTTCTATCTTTCTGAAGTTAGTAAAATGAGTAACCAGCTCTCTGTGGGGTAAGTTGTTGTTTGCATAATTATGTTATAATCTGTCCAGGGAGTACTCTAGCATTATGGGGTGGTATATAAGATGACTACGACTCTGGAGAGCAGGGTTCAAATCCCCACTTGGCCATGGAAATTCACAGGGGGAGTGGTATTGATAAAACCACTTCTTAAATGTCTCAGTTATCTTAAAAAGCCCTATTAGGGTCACTGTAAGTCAGTTCTGACTTCACAGTACAGAACACACATATAAGAACACACAACAACAACAACGTTCTATATTTGGAGGAAAAACCCAAGTGCACATTCACAAGATGCATGATACTTGGCTCAGTAATACTACACGCAAGAAGGATATTGGAATTGTAGAATTGTTGTAAATCACAAGCTGAATACGAGCCAACGCTATGATGTAGCTGCACAAGATAAAAAAGGCAAATGCTATATTAGGCTGTTTTAAACAGACGTATCCTCTCCAAATTTTTGTGAAGTAATAACTCCCATCTATTCAGTACTGGTTAGGCTTGATCTTGAGTTTTCTGTTACGTTCTGGACACCACACTTTAAGAAAGATGCAGACAAACCAGAACAACTTCAGAGGAGGAAAACAAAGATGATCAGGTGACTGGAAAGCAAGTCCTATGAGGAAAGTGTGAAAAGTTTAGCCTTGGGAAAAGAGGACTGAGGAGGGATACAATAGTACTCTTTAAATACTTGAAAGATTATCATTCAGGATCTGTACTCAGCCATCCCAGAATATCGGATATGTAATAATGGGCTCAAGTTCCAAGAAGAAAGATTTCAGTTCAATATCAGGAATAACTTCCTAACGTAACAGTACAGCAATGGAACCGATTACCTCAGGAGGTAGTGAACGCTCCAATGTTGGAGGCATTCAAGAGAAAATTAGACAATCACATTTCAGATATGCTTTGATTTGATTCCTGTGTGGCATGGGGGTAGGACTCAGTTACCTTATAGACCTAGTCCAATTGTATTATTTTATGATTCTATGACTCATTGCTGCTGTTCCCCCCCCCACACACACACATCTTTAAACCAGACTGGAACTACACAGTTGTTAAAATGGATGGCTGTCCTGTTAATCGGGACATGCCTATATGCACAAATCAGAGGAGCTTCTGAGGAAAGCATGTTAGGCAAGTTGCATATTATGCCAAACGTTTTACTGAAAACCAACTGGACTCAAACCACATCTAAGGTTGGATGGTGCCCATACATGGGTGGAACGGTTTTGTGTGACATACAGTCTGACAAGCATTGGCCAGAAAGAGAAATTCCATATAATCTTCTGTTGTCTGACACTAAACATGGCCTACAAAGGTGCCATATCCCATAGTAACAATCTCCCATGAGCTGAGCTAAAGAGAAGCACCAGTGGGTTGCATATAATTTGCAAATGCTATATAGGCAAAAAATGTGGAAATACAATGAAGTCCTTTGTCAATGTAGAGTCAGGTCCATCTTATTTATGATGGTGACAAAAAGTAATACTAGGAAGTTCTGATATCGTAATGTGTTTTCTATGCGCATCATTGTTGCTTACAATAAACTCCTGTGCATGCCTTCTCAGAAGTTACATTCAACTGTGTTCAACTGAACTCTCACTAGCAATGAGCACACTTGGGATAACTTTTGCCAAAAATACATTGTGGGGCATTAGAATGCAGATTGGGGTCTAAATTTCTCTGGATTGCCTTCTGTATTCATGTAGTTAGAGTGCTCACTGCATCCGGTCAGTGGGCACTCCTGAACGAACCATGATCTCTTAGCCACCAGCTCTTTGGAAGGGTAAGTTAAGAATGTGATCAACTGTAGATGGAATTGAAATCAGTATTTTATACACAAGTCATTGGAGGCAGAAGGACATTATAACTGATTGCTTTATTGATACTGTATTACAAATGAAAAGTACAATAGGTGCAGAATCCGGGCAGTTTGAATCTTGTATATCGAGTGCACACAAGTGAAATATTTCAAGATACATCAACTCCCATTACCCCTTTCCCCACTCTCCCTTTCCCACCCCACCCCGCCCCACCCCTTCATATAAAACTTGAGCAGACAATAATACATACAATGACACATACAAAAATGAAAAAAAAGTTTTTTGTTTTTTTTTTTCCAAAATAACAAAGACAATTCTTCCCTTCATTTAGTGCAGAGGCAGCTAGGTCCATCACCAAAAGACTGAGCCTTTGCAATCAGGCAGGATGAAATGATTGAAGCTTGTTATGGGACAGTAAGACAGTGGAAACAGTTGGGAGAAACCAGGCTCCCTCCCCCTCAGGTGCCTGTGGCTTTGCACCAGGTGGATGGAAGAAAACAGACCAGTTCCAGCAATGGTTTTGAATTTGTTGTTTAAAGTGGGATTGCCCCACCCAGGAAAAGAGAGAGAGAGAAGAAGAAGAAGAAAAGAGAAATAAAACTAATTTGTAAACTAGAAATGCCCTAAGAATCAATTCTGCTACACCGCTAAAGGTAATTCACACCTAACTGCTAGTGGGTTGTGCTCTGTTTTCTACTGTGAAGTTAAGTCACCCTTTCCCTTTCATGTAATGGTCTTTTTGACACAGGCTGATATCTACAATAGCATTTGTGGTATAGAAGAGTAAGCTGAGCTCCTCAAATATGTATTGCTTTTGCTCATGGCTACAAAAGGCCAGAAGACAACAGTGCTCCTGACTATTCACTTAAAACACTACATGCCTTAGGATAGATTTTGCAGAACTACTAGGCCAGTTTGAAGTTTCAACTTCATGTTTCCAAGGCACCTTGGTGATTTGAATGATCCAGTGCTCCCTTTGGGATATCTGAATATCCCAGTACTGGACATATTTCATTTACTTGCATCGTCACTAGTTTTGCATAAAGCATGCAGCCCAAATCATAGGCATGATTGGTTTGTTTGTTTGTTTTTACTCAATTAAAAGATACCGTTACTAATCAATATACTCCCAAGTGTGCATGCACAGGATTGAAGCCTTAAACAGTGCATGCCAGCCTGGAAAAGGAAGAAAACTAGCCAAGATACTAGCCAACTGGCAGATTTTGATTATATTCCAAAGTTTTTGCACAGACTTAATTACTTTGGAATCTGATCCTTTCATTAATTTGGCCTTGAATCTGTATTTTTCCCCCTAATTTTTTTCTAACACATTATCTATTTCTACCTGGTACTAAGCTAAAAGGCCCTACATCACCGGGGGGGGGGGGAATTTCAACAACAGCTGCAAATTACTTTTCCAGAACATTTAGGTAAGCACTGAACCATTATCCAAGTGGAAATATTCCAAAGCCAACTTACAGACCCATTTTCTTTGCAGAACAGTCTCTATCTCCTCTCCCACCAGCTAGAGATTCCACCCCCCCCAACCCCTGTTTAACAAGCACTTAAAAGAGTGTATTTAACTTTACAGACATTCCAGGGAACAGTATTCCAGAAGCTCAAAATAAGCACACCTCACTGCTTTGCAACATCAGGGCCAGCTTTGTTAAGCCTATTACAAAACTGAGCCTAAACTATACATAAATTCCCTTTGCTTTTCACCACGGTTATGCTGCAAAAAAGCATTTCCCCCAAATTCAGTTCTCTAGCATAACAAATACAAGAAACTGTAAAGAAGGCTAGGTAGGTACTCTTGGTTGAAGAACATTCTAGTGTTAACTTTTTTTTAAAGGAGTCTGCAAATACAAACTTTCAATCCCGTATGTTTCCCCTCCCCTCTCTCTACTAATCTTTGCAACTGCCCCCCCCATTTACAACTGATTATGGACTTTTATTGTATTTTGCATTGCCATGGAGAACAAAAAACCCCAAAGGCTTCATGGCTCAATATTGCATGACAGAAGATTCAAAACTGTTAATACAGAGTAAAAAGGGGAAAAAAGAAGATAAAAATTAAAACATCCTACTCTTTAAAAAGAAGAATACAATTCAAGTAATCTTTTATGTTCTTTAAGATATACAGATAGATATATATATAAGGCAAAGCAGATGTCCCCCTTTTTTTAAAGCAACTGAGTATATATGATAGGGGTATTGATTTCCCCTGGTTATTATGGTTCATAGATGAGACAGGTAACTGGTTGTTTTAACTTAAAAAAAAAACACAACAATTTGCCACCTTCTGCCCACCTTTCCCACCAAATGCTGGACTTCAAGGAAAGTAACTGGCTTCTTCATTTCCCCATTTCTGACACATCATCTCTTATTTTTGGTTGTGCAGTTAAAAGATGGAAATGAGGCAGCACAAAACCACCTTTGACCCTTAAGAATTGTGAGGGAATGAAAAAGACCAACTCTTTTTCCAGATGTATTATGTTTCCCACACTACTTTTCTTGTGGTGCTTCTGTGCTCAGGAACAAGAACTCAACAACATTGCTCCCTACAGCAGGAAAAAGAAAAATCTCATGTCTTGGAAGTGGTTATCTCTTATTCTGACTCTAGGAAAACATTGCAGGGAGCCTTCAGAAGGCCTGCACCTTCCCTTTCTGACAAGGAGGAAGGAAAGAAAGGCAGCAGCCAGTTAAAGAGATGGCTTAGGCATCTCAGCTACTCCTCCTAAAATGGCTCCATTTGGCTAATTAATTATGTCTGTGTAAAATATGAAGGATATGAATAGTCTGACTGAGGTGGGGGGAACCAGCATCAGATCAGAGAGAATGTGGCAGATAGAAAATGGCAAAACTTGGTAGGAAGATGGTGGCCCTCAAGCTGCAAATGGGTGTTTTATGTGCAGTGAACAGCTCCATGAAATAAAATGGAATCACTCACTAAGTACATGCATATGCTTTTGCAGTACACCTGCTCTAGTTTCTGGATATTAAGAGACTGAGTGAAGGACTTAAGGAAGGCAAATTGTTTTGACCTAAAATGCATATAGATGTATTTGTGTTTCTGCATGTGCGTGCATTTATGTATATGAGTGAAAGGCAATTAGCTCATATGGTCATGACCAAGCTATATTTCAGAAGAGAAAAAAAGAAAAAGAAAAAAAGAACACACTTATCACACTTTCCTAAAACGAAAAGCTAAAAATTTCAAGTTCAGTATTCGAGATCTTGTCCTTCCCGCCCCACCCTGTTGCAATTTTCTGGGTTCATCTCCCCCTCTTCCAACTTACATTAGCACCATAACAACATTTAAACATTACAATCCCTCTTCAGTTATCTATACATACACACATACACTCACTCTCTCACTCTCTCACTCTCTCTCTCTCACACACACACACACAATGGTCCCATTAAAAATAGTGCTTTTTTTGCCAAACAAAAAGTTATATATAATATATATTTTATATAATTCAACTAAATCTGTGGCAAATGTGCAATGCAGACGCCTTCTCCATTAAAGTGAACCTAGGTTCACACTTACTCTCTCACTTCATCGGTGATTTTCAAAAGGTGCAAGTACATTTGGAACTGTGTAATTTTTTTTTAAAAGGTAGTGAGCCCCATCATTTCTTCTCTGGCTTTTAAAATGTGCAACAAATTTGTTTACAAAACTCACAATACATACTATAGACTTACTGGGACTTCTTAAACAATATAATGGGATGGAAGCAAGGCCAGAATTTAAACCCTCAGATGTCACATACCCCTTTCACTTTTATTGTCAATGCAGACATACATTGGGCTTCTTTCAGTGTCATTAATCTTCTCTTCTTCTATCTTCATTGGTTGGCATAAGGAACTGAAAGGCAGTGGCCCAATATTAAATCGTTCAAGTGCCTTAACTGTCCCTTTTAAGTAAAGGCTGAAAATACTGGGCAAGAAAGGAACGAAACCAAAAGATTTGTAAAAAAATAAAAATAAAAAAAATAAAGACAATGCCACAGAAATGCTGCCGCCGCTACCACCACCAATGTTGTAATCCCGTTCTTTCTAGGTCAGTTGTTTGGTGTTACTGTACCCCTCCCTGTTCCTCCTCAGTGTGAAAGGGCATTTGCCCTCCCCCCTCTCTCCACCATGGTTTAGGAGAGCAAAAAGGGTGGAGCCAGGACTGGGAAATGCCTCCCATGAGACTGGAAAAAATAATAATATTAATAATAATAATAATGATGAAGAATCCATATTGTAAATTGTTCATCACAGTTCATTTCTGGCTGCCTGATGGTTCTGAGGTGGCTTGCACAACAATGGGCTTTTGGGTAGGCAGGGCCATCAAGGGACGATGGACCTTGGACTCTTCAGACTCTTGTAATCCTTCAGCTTGCCATCGATATCTGCGGGCACGGTGGATGTTGGGGACCCCTCTTTGAAGGCGCTGTGAACTCTTCTTCTGCCAGATGTCATATTTGGAGTACTTGGTGTGAGGGGGCTTTTGAAAGGTATCCTAAGGGAAATGAAGGAATATATAGAATATATAGAAAATAAATGTACTGCAGTTTTAAATTCATTAGTAGAAATAAAATTGATCACCTTCTGGCTATCTAGAGAAATGATTCCAAAAAATAAACCATTTTGTGGAGTAGTATAAACAGCAAAGACCAGGTCTTTCATTATTTGGCTAGTTTAGAGAAAATCTAAAATCCATACAGCAAAATGATTTCCAAAGTGGTAGCCTATCAAACTGGTAGGTTTCAGGGAACACCAAGAGTTGCCAAAATGAAAGAAATATCTTTGGAAAAAATTCTAGTAGGGGAACAATTCTACTCCCAACCATTGTCTAATAAAGGCGGAGCATATCCAGTGACCAGGAGGAATGGATAGATTATCCTGGAAAAAGACAATTCTCACTGGCTAGAACAATGAACCAGAGTGGTATTAATCATGCTTGTTATTTAATAGGCTTTCTACTATGGCCTAACAAGTACTGTAGAACCTTGCCAATGGAATCACATGTATGCATATTCAAAAGACAGTCACACTATGCTCAATGGTTCAGGTTAGTGCTGTAGAGATATGCATTTACTTGGGGTGTGTCATTCACCACAGTGGGACATACCTGTGCTACACAAGAGTGTTTTGGCCACTGGGTTTAATGCATTGGGCTACTGGGTTTAATGCATTGGGCTACATAGGATGGAGATATTTTCCATGAAGAGAGCCCTTCTGGTATCAGAAGGGTCCAACCTATTTTATTTTATGACTAATTGTTCTTCCTTTCCCCCTCCCATCCCATCTAGAAGTGTATTTTCCAACACAATAGTTGTTGCGAATGCAACATAACATGCCATCTGCATCGCATAAAGCAAAAGCACAGGTTCACTGTAACAGCTAAAGCAGCAGATGTTGGAAATCAAGCTCCTGTTGTCTCACAGGACAGTGATTTTCAAACTTGGGTTCCCAAATGTTTTTGGACTACAACTCCCAGAGATCCTGGACAGCACAACAAGTGGTGAAGACTTCTGGAAACTGCAGTCCATGAACATCTGGGGACTACGGTTTGAAAACAACTGCCATAGGATTACTCTTCCCTCCCCCACCCCGGTCCAATCCTCCTCCTCTGGTAGTGCCAGGACTTACCTTGTTTAGTGCTGGTAAAACTATGAGAGAAGTTGATGAGAGGTCCCGTTCTGACTTGACTGACTTTGCACAGTAAGTTTCCAAGAGATTAAGGTCACAACTCCGGAAGCAGCACTCCTCCACTATGCCACGATTCAGTCTTCCTCTGTTTCTGCCCACGGGTCTACCTGTTATTCAGAAGTTATCAATTTTTTAAAAAACCACAATCTTATTTTCCTGAGCAGTTCAGATCTTAATCATTAAAGCTGGCAAAAGGGAAATTTGAAAAAATGAAATGGACCAAGTGTTAGCCTTTTTTTTTTTTTTTTTTTTTTTTTGCTGTGAGGTTCTCCAAGCGACACCCAAGATCTTCCACAGAGAATTCCATATTTAACAGTGGAATATTCACAGTGTAGAAACAAAAAAGGAAGCTTGCATTTTCTAGGCCAGGCCTGCCCAACTTCCAACTCACCAAGCCAAAGTCTTCCCACCAAGCACTCATTGGGCCTGTTTTCACTGTCTGCAAAGTCTAACAACCACATCGGGGCCAGCATGGTATGTGGACTATGTGTAACATGCTAGGTGCAGGCCTGTCCCAGACAAACAGCTAAAGAGGTCAAGTGTTACACACGCTTAGCCTCTTTTATTTTGAAAATATTAGCAAGAAGCTATTTATCTCAAAGTGTGTCTTCTGCGTCAAATGCTCTATAGGTCATGCTATCAAGCACTTCAAGGCCTGCCTTGGTGATGCCAACAACCATAATATTCCAGTTTCTGAAATTATTATATTAGATAATTGTCACCAGGAGAGCCCCATTGAACTCAGCAGCACTTAACTCATTGTAAACATGTACAAGTTTGACCTACAATCATGTTTGTTAGATCAGACCCCCAAGATAAAAATTGACAAATGAGAAGCACCAGCATGCTTTCTACAACAGACAGTTCCACTGTGTTATCCAGAAATATTTTTTGCTGCATCAGTTCCCTGGTATTTTCTCTTTCAAGGTTGCTGGCAAGTACAGCAACATTACCCAATTAAATAATTGGACAGATCTGACCATCCAAAATATACTGTATTTTCCACCCAATGCACCACATTTTTCCTTGAAGGGGTGGGGGAACAATCTTGTTTCACTTCAGGATTTACATCTGGACATAACAGTTTGAAGACAACACATTTCTAGTGCAGAACCAAAAACAGAATCCAAACTGATGGACTAATTAGTTTGAACATTCATTTCAGAATGCAGCATATGTACTTTCAGGCAATTAGTTTCTTAACTACTTAGCAAATAACACAAGAGTTTAAAAGCCTGAATAACAGTAATGCTTACTATATATATAGTGCCCAAAGGATGCCATATGTACAAAATCAGGAATCATCACAACAGACTCAAAAGGTAGGCCAATGTGATCATCCCCACAGTGCAGGCAGACAGGCATGAGTATGTAGGTGGTAGTCCTTCCAATTTGCCCTCTCTTGTCAGTTTATTCCATTTGTTAATTAGAGCTTTTGTTTTTTTTCAGCAGGGGAGGTGCTATTGCAACTCCTCACAGGAAATCTCTAATCCAGGAATGGGCAAGTCAGAGCCATAACAAGCCATCTTGACACCTGGGCCAAGCAGCACCTTCTCCTACCCCCTCTATTACAAAGCATGAGCCCTTGATGAAAAAGGAAGAGGAGAATGTGGTGTTCCTCCAAAAAGAAAGGGAAATTCATGCTGGAAAAAAAGAAAAGTGAATGGGAAGAGGAGGTGTGGCCATTATTTCCCTAACTCATTAATGGATTCGCCTCTAGACTTTTGGTATCCTCTCAATTTTAATTCTCTGAGGCACAGCCCCCATTGTTCCACACTTGTTACACTGCTATCTACAGCAGTTCCAGCAATGACCTGTGTCAGCAGACACCTTCACTTCATATTCTGTCATGCAATCTTTTGAACTTCTTCTCAGGTGAAGGTCCAGGGGTCATGTTCACCAGCCTTTAAAGTCCAAGATTTACAGCAGAGGACAAGACAGTGTGGACACAGTGGCTAGATACTGATCTGTTCCAGAACCAGAGCTCCCTTGATAGTTCCCTTGCTCCAGCCACATCCCAAAAATGAGGAATTGCAGCTAGCCTACACAGTTAAAAACTGCTGTCTGGAGACGTTGTACAAATACATATGTGCATTCCGAGGAGGATGGTACATGTGAGAGAGGAAGAAAGAGAGGCACAAGTGGATGTTGTAGCACTGTATAAGGACTTATGTGCCACACTTCTGAATAATTATAATATAGTCCAAAGCCTGTGTTCCCTTTCCTTACACACCCTGAACCACCACCTTCTGTCTGATCAATCAAGCACCAAGTCGAGCGGAAGAAGACTTTGGGTGTAAACAATCCTCTCTCCCCCTGTCAGAGGAATGTGGGCACCAACAAGAGGGCCTTTGTCAGATGGCTGGGCAGCAGCAGCCATTGTTCCAAATCCCTCCCCTCAAAATAACTTCTCCTCTACCTCCCCACCAACTCTTTTCCCCTAGAGAGAGAGAGAGAGAGAGAGAGAGAGAGAGAGAGAGAGAGAGAGAATGTGCTTTGTCAGCATAAGTGGCTGGAAAGAGCTAAGTTCTTATCAGCTGTTGGAAAGGAAGAAACAGGAGCTGTTGTTTACAGAAGTCAGATGCCTCTTCTCTGGCTCCCTCCCTCCCTCTCTCTCTCTCTTCCCTCCCTACCCCCTACTCTTTCTACTCTGTGTCTCATTTACTCATTTTCAAGAGGGCTTTTTTATTGTAAAAAAATGTGTCAGAATATGAATGAAGCATTCCAAATGTTGGTCACTGGGCCACCTGTCCTCTAAGGCCAGCCACCCGTCTTGCATCTTGTGTCACTGATACAAAAGCAACAGGAAATGTTTCTTCTGTCAGATTAACCTGAATAAGACTGCAGTGCTTCTAGTGATTGTTTCCATGAGCAAGGCTGAGAAATGGTGTGTGTAATGCAGCAGGGAAACATTACTTTAAGTTTCTTATAGACCAACTGTTTCTGATACAGAAGCATTTTTCAGTTCAAAACATCTTCCTCTTCATTGCATGCAGCCTGTCAGGTTTTCCTGCCCCTCTACCAAATGAGAGAGAAAAAAGCACTTAAAACATCAGAGAGGCAAGCCTTCTAAGGCTCAGCTTAAAGTCTGGCTTCAATGGGGAGGATGATGAATTGTCCCAGCTGGGGTCCTGACCTTTGGTCGTTTAGGACAGAGCTGCAGATTAAAGAGCCTAAAAAGCAACTTCCCTACAAAAATGTTTTCAGAAGAGACTTCAGACCACCTACAATATGGGAAATGGGGGGGGGGGAGTGGGACAGCTTTTAGATGCCAGACATGACATGACAATCAGTTGTGCTGCTTTCTGCTCCACACAGAGGATGTTTCCTTTCTGTTAGTGGAAGATAAATGTTGGCATCTCCTTTGAGACTAAAATGAACTGCTCCACCGTTTCCTCTAGTCTCTTACAAGTAGACCTCCCTGACCACCAAAATTGCTTTTAATTTCCACAGTGATCATTCTAGATAGCAATATCACAGATACTCTTGTTTATTTGGGGATTTTTCTTGAAATTCATTGTCAGTCCCAGGAATCAATCTTGCATAGAGGTTGGGAAAAAATACTTCCCCCCCCCCACAAAACTCCAACATGCCAATCATATTGATTGGAGAATTCTGCAAATTGTAGCAAAAATACAATTTTTCCAAAATTTGGCTGGGGGGGCATATGAAGCAACTGATCATACAATGAACATGTTTCCCTCCCCACTAAATACATATAGCACATCCTATCTAAAAGCAAAAGCAAAGTGTGCTGCTTATATACTGCCCCATAGCACCCCAAGCACTCTCTGGGCGGTTTACAAGTTAATTATGCAGGCTACACATGCAGGTCAAAAAGTTCAGATTTTGGGGAGACGTAGCCTCAAATGCATCTCTTTTGAGATATCAAAGTAGAGCAGTGGTTCCCAACTTTGGGTAACCCAGATGTACTTGGACTGCAATTCCCAGAAGCCATCACGACCAGCTGTGCTGGTGAGGGTTTCTGGGAGTTGCACTCCAAGAAGTCCTGGGTTACCCAAGGCTGGGAACTACTCAACTTCAATTCATGCATTGGTAAAAATGGAATGTCATAAATGTATACACCCTCCTAGGAGCCTGTGGTAGGTTTTTGCTCTGTCACCTTACCACTTGCTCTGTCTGTTCTATGTCCAAAAACATGAACATAAGACTTCCAAATTTCCACCTAATGGAAGTTTAAATTGTGTGTGTGATTGAAAAATAAAATGCTTCATAGTGATATAAATTCTCTAAGATATTATCTAATAGACATTAGAAGAATACTGCTAGTCTGCCTCCAAATACCTTGTGAATCATTATATCTATCCCACTCAGAACCTGAAGCTGAGAAATGGCCTTACCAGTGAGTAAGAAAGGTTATTAAAGATTTCTCAATGGAAAATAGGATGGTGATTGTGAAAAGAAGATTAAAAACAAACAAACAAAAAAAAAAACGCTGAGAGCAAAAGGCACATACACTTTTCTTTGTAAGTCTTTAAAGGTCTGGTTAGAGAAACCTAGTGGCAGACCAGATAGATATAAACTGTGGTCAAAATGAAAATGCTGGCTGAATTTTAGTAACTTGTATCCACTTTGTCATTTCAAAAGTACCGTATATCTACACAACTTTGTATGGCTGGCTGGAAAATTCTGGGCATTATAGACCAAATAAAAATTTTCCCAAAGTTCTGGCAGGAAGTCAATCTATTTTATTTTTAATTCCTCACTTTTTTGCTTTTTTTGTTATTAGACAAGGGTGAAATTTTGTTACAAATTATGATCAACACACCAGACGAAACTAGTACTTCCAAATATAACTTGCAAAATCTTACTACAAAACTCCTTCATTAGATCACACGAAATAAACATACACTCTTTAGTCATGTGGGGATATATAGGCATTTTGTTTAGAACGAATTTGCTGCCTTCAACTACATCTCCTGAAGCGTTATTTTCAGTAATGCTTGAATTTCTAGGCTGTCTAGTGCTCTTATGTACTGAAAATGAATTATTCGTGAAAAAGTTTGTATTCATTGGCTTTGGCCAAATTCAAGGCAAATTCTGCTGAAACACAACAAAACTGTGTTTTTGGACTCAGAAAGGCAAGAAGTCGTAATCTGTCATACCCTAGCCAGAGCCTGGAGATTTTTTTCTGGACTGTATTTCTCTAAATCCACCAGCCAGCTGAGGTAGATTCTGGAATTTATGTCCAAAAAAGCAATTCTTTTTCAAACTCTGTCCCCAGCTGAGGTCATGCTGTTTAGCTAATGCAGAAAAAACAGGCAGACTATATGGTGGAATTAGACCTCATATTAAAAAAGTCACTGCCAGTAGTATTACTTGGTGTAAACATTGGAGGATACAAGTGCTTTCCAGCCATTAGCTGCAACATGGACATTTGTGCAACGCAATGATCAGCATTGCTATCCATCTGTACTTAAGAGTAAGCTCATCTGAGCTCAATGGCGCTTAATCCCCCACAAAAAGTGGAATACGATTTCAGCTTTAGGTTAATTTACCCAGTTCTAAGGGGGGGGGAACAAGTTATAGGAATGCATAACAATTTGTCTTGATATGACTTTAGTGATGTAGTATAGCATGAGGGTGGCTCATAAGCATGAATGGGGGGAGGGGTTACACTCACTGAAATTCTGGGGCAAGATATCCCCTTATCCTGGTCTACCGTTAGCCTTACAAATACAATTCTGAGCACAGAACTTTCATTTTAGCTACAGACACAGTATCTGAGGACTATGGCAATCTATCTTCAGCTCCTTCTTCACACCTGCAACATGGAGATTACACTGGCCAATGTTACAGGGTTGTTATGAAGACTATCAAGACAGCATTTCATACATAATTTTCAAAACTTGATATTCACCATGTAAATGCTAATTTTTATTATTATAAATACACATCTTCCCCAACTCTCAAAAAAAGAGAGACAACACAGTATATCATTGTCTTTTTGTGCAAAGAGATACTTACTGAAGTAGAAGCCCCTGTCCCCACAGACGAACTGCAGAGTGTCCACCAGCTCTCCACCACAGAGGGTTTCAGCAGGTCCATAAGCAGAGACAGAATCAACTGTATATGCCAAGAAAGTAAGAGCAAGCAGCAGTATCCGGCTAGTGGAACACATCTTCTGCACCTAGAAGACACATATTGAAAGAATTAAAAATGGCATTGCTTCTTCGTTGTGATTCAGATAGCAAGGAAAAGTAGCATCCAAACCAGCTGTTAGAACACAATGATCCCCCATCTTGATGGGAACATCTTCCTCAGCTATTACTGTTTCGGTTGGCAGAGATATCAATAAACCACAAGAGGGAAATGTTTGGGTTTTTGTTTTTTTACTACAACTATGGCTCAGGAATTCTCGGGGTAGTAGTCTTAAACAGTTTTCTATTTCTGAGCATTGGCATGATGAAACTCTGGGATTTTCTGACTATGACTTCTGCCACACCCCTTAAGTATTCTCCATTCCCTGTGAGCTTAGCTGCAGTCCTTCTAGTAGGTGAGAGAAATGGATTTCCCCAGGAAAGATAAATTGTTGAAAGCTATCTCTGTCAGCATGCAAAGTACATGAGCGTGTTTCATTTCCAAATGTGCAGTTAAGAAACATTAGCTTTGCAAAACACTTGCTCCTCATTTGTTGACATGGACCAATGCACCAGTCTGCATTTTTGGACCTTACTGGTGGGAGCTGGCTATGTGGACAATCACGATGAGCACATACAGTTCTAAATTTATCCCAAAACCACTGTCTCTCAAGTCTTGTACTTAGGAGCAGATTAACAGTACTGTACATAGTTTTACGTAGTTTTTAATACCAACATCTGAAAGTGTACAAGGGATACTGAAGCAATGGCCGGGCCTAAAATATATGTAGAGAAGCAGAAGTAACAATGCTTCCTTCTTCAGCATCTTTTGGTAAAAACCATAAAAGTTGCAATCAGCCAGTGAACATGCTATTTTACTGATGGCTCAGGCACAGGCCCAAATCCAGACTTAAGCCAGTTAAGGGAGGAACTCAGGGTGGATAAAAATCAGTGATTTTTTTAAAAATTGATGTAAACTATGATTTAAATTTTAAAAATTGATTTTTATTTAAATTATTTAAAACAATTAAAAATCTAAACCACAATTTAAATCCATTTGATTTAAATGAAATCTATCCTGAAGGTATTACTACTTAAATGGTCATTTTAATTTAATTTCCTTTTTTAAAAAATCTATTAAAATAAATAAAGAAATCATGATTTAAATCCATCTGATTTAAATCAAATCCACCCTGAAGGAACTGCAGCTTAAATTTTCACCCAACAACGGTTTTCAGGTTCTAGAGCCGTAGGCTCTCAGTTTCTGTAGGACTACAACTACCACAATCCTTCAACAATGGCCCTGCTGGTGGGAGTTGTAAATGCAACACATCTGGTATCGAGACCTCCTAGAGAGCATGTAGTGAGTCAGGCCAAATTACAAAGTTTGAGTTCTCTGCAAGGCAGCAGGGTTCAGGTTGGTGGTAGGCAGCTGCTGCAAGCATTTCTCTGCCTTTGAGCAAAACTTAGCAATATAAAAAACCAGGGTGTGATGGATTTTGTGTGTGTGTGTGTGTGTGTGTGTGTGTGTGTGTGTGTGTGTGTGTGTGTGTGTGAGTGAGTGAGTGAGAGAGAGAGACAGACAGACAGACAGACAGAGATGATGTATACTAACACATTTTAAAATGTGTTGCTAGACTGACTAGGACAGCTATGAAGTCTTTTAATTCACTAGTTCGATTTATTAATTGATCAAGTACTGCAGCCCTCGTTCTAGACTACTGTTTTGGCTATTTTTAAATAGACTCCAACATTGTCTTAAGAGAAAGTGCTGTCGTTTTCTGGAAGGACTTGATAATATATGGCTGTCACAATAGCACAAGGCAGACCGGACGACCTTTTGTAGAGTTGGAAGGAATCCCACCAACGATCTAGTTCAATCTATTCCTGGCTTAGCCCCAAACTTTCTAATGTGACCCTAGACAGAGTCCAAGGCCAGCTTTCTATCCATTAATCCATACCACCGATCCTGGATTACTAGCTTTCCAGTAATTTATAGTAAATTCAGTCCCCAGTGGGAGAAACCATCTGACTTTTTAAAATAGTTAGTAGTCCTACAACTTTCTTTGGGGGGGGTCGTGGAGAAGGAAGGAATCATACTTAATGCACTAAGGGAGGGAAATTAGTGTGATAATCCAAAATAATGTTGATTTATATTTGAAACAATAATCCAATCTGCACTCAAACCGGGTGCTGTTTCGGAACATGTAGTTTAAACATTTTACCTATATGCCCAGAAATTTTATAGTTTGAAATGAAATATAAGAAAATCTACAGAGATGGGGAGGAGATAGAGAGAGGGAAAGTTTGTATATCAACCTGTTGTGAAAAAAGCCCAAGACGGCGGGAACTATGTTTGTTCAAATAATTTCAGGGTCGCAAACATATTGATCCAAAGGTAACAGTACTGGAAATTATTTTCATAGAATGTGTCAGAATAGGATTGCACCCTTAGATCATGTATTTTAATCCTAAAAGGTTCAATGTCTGCTGAATACCCTAGCAATAAAAATGCAACACCCTTATTAACAGAAACAGAAAAGGGAGAAAACAACACAGCAATAAACTGTGTACAAGACAATATTCTATCTTTTTGTTATGTTCTCTCACATTACAGTTCTAATCATGTTCCCTTCTGCGCCCTCTCACTCCCCCAAAGTAAATAAAGGCTAACATTCATTAACATGAGGGCTAGTCCAAGACATTTTGCTGTCTGAACCAGCACAGTCAATAGAACCCATCCCCCTGAACTCATGGCATGCAGTACCCAAAGCCAACTAAGTTATTTTTGGCAGCTATGGCCTGGGGGGAAGATTTGAACCACAGCAGAGGGATGGGGCAATTTTCCAAAGCAGTATTCTCACATATGTTCCATAGGGGAAAACTTGGGGTATCTGTAGCACCATATGCAGGATGTAGACTTTGGCACACCCACCAACTCTATGTTTCTGAAGGTCATGGTGGGGGGGGAACACATGGCTGGTTCATCATAGGTGAATCAACGGACCAACCGACTGACTGACCAACCAACCCACCCACCCACTTACCCACCCACCCACTTTTTCGGTCTGTTTTCCTATAATGTCCATGCACCTGACAATCCAACAGACTCGAACTATGAAGCTGGGCAGGGGAGAAACATTCCAAAGATAACAATAAGCTCCAAGTAGTAATTGATACTACCTGCCACTGCCTTGTATTACTTCAGTCACAAGGCAGATATTAGCAAAATGATCACAGAGGCTACTTGTGCCTTTGCAACTCATCTTGGGAGGAAGGAAGAGAGTGAAACTGCAATACACACAGAGACAATGAGGCTTCAGGACAATCAATACTCCCAGCCCCCAATTAACTTCTGCCTAATGGGCAAGCCTCCAATAGTTAGCTTAACCACCTTGTCATCGACCCTGGTCCCAATCAGTTTCTCACAAGGGATTGCTTAATTTTTGTGTTTGACAAGCTGACTAAACAAGCATGCAGTGTCTGTACTTTCCAAGAGGCCTCAAATCTGGAAACCTGTGTCTGAGGTCCACAAGTTCTTGGAATCACCCTGGCCCGCCCCCCCCACCACTGATAAGATCTATTTCTCTGCCTCTTCTAAAAATATTCTCTCCACCTCACTCCAAGGGGTCAACGCAATGGCAGATGATGTGGCACTCGGAAACACCTCTTGTGCCAACAGTATGTGCATGCGCTTACACAGAGGAATGCTGTATCTCAGCACTGCTCCGGAAGACTGGCCTTCCATAACATTCTAAACTTCTCTTGTTCTGTGAAATGAAGTAACATGTGAGGGTCACCCCAAACTCAAACTCTTCACCACTATTACCTTATCCTTCACAACAGTGCCTGCTGGACATCAAGACCCTTTTGAAAAAAAATGCCAAAAAGCTCTCCCATGTCTTCAGACCTACTTTCCTCAACCTGGTGCAATCCAGATGTTTTGGGGTACAATCAGCAAAGCCAATCCTTGCCCATCATGACAGCTGTAATCTAAAACATTGGGAGAGCACAAGATAAAAGACCGTTCTAGACTATAACACATAATTGTTTCACACCATATCAAAGATTCCAGCTACTCTTACCCATTGTTTAAACAAATTTCCTACCCAGACATAGCCCAATATCTAATATGCAAGTAGTTTTACAGGAGGAAACAGTTGCTTTGTCAGCTGTGATGATGTAACCAAATACTCCCAAGTTCTGTGGTAGAGAAACCTTTCACTTTCCTATTAGAATAGAAAATATACAGTATTGACATCTGTAAAGCTGTGATTATATCATGTTTTCCTTCGCCCACCAAGTAATTCAAGGCAACTCCTCCTCCACCCTAGGCCATGGAGGAAAAACAACATCAACTTGACTGGGCTGGGGTGTGTGTGTGTGTGTGTTTTCAGCTAGGACCATTTCTGAAGCATCCTGAAATATATACTGAGCAAAAAGGTGGAGGTGAGAATGCCACTACATATGCTGTAACCCAGTGGTCCCCAATCTTTTTGATACCACAGACCAGTTGGGGGAGATGGGATCCGTGCACGGGGGGCACCCCCTGCATTTGGCGTATTGCGTGAAGGGACAGTGCTCACTCACGCAGGCATGCATGCACACACTCGCACGCAGGTGCAAAGGGGGGTGCTCATGTGGTGTGGGCACACACTCACAGGGTTGGAGGTGGTTGCGGGGCACCCGCATCTGCACGAAGGGGCTGTGAAGGTGAGCATGCGGGGGAGGAGTGTGGAAGATCTGTGTCTAACATGGGTCCAGCCAAGGCCACAGACTAGGGGTTGGGGACTCTTGCTGTAACCCTAAACCAGGACCAACATGGATACCAATGTGAACAAATGCACAATTTAACCCTGTGATCTCTCCTCAACAAGTGCTGGCTTTTCAGATACAGCTCAGGTAGTGGTGATGTTCACCTTGAGTCCTCCCCATCACCACCATACACCAGCAGTGTTAATAGAAGACTGGTCGCACAGCAACAAGGGAGCAAAGAAGCTTGTTTACTGCCTGGTGCTGAACTCCCCCCTCTTTCCCAACCCCTGAGGAA